ACAGGCGTCTAGACAGAATCTAGACAGGGGACTGACGTAAGGTCATGAAGCAGCAGAAACTGGAATTTGCGGCAAAATGCAGGACACATGGGAATTAGAAAATTACTTGGAAGTCAGTTGCTGTCTTGTCTTTGAAGGAGCAAGACTGGAAATCGAAGTGCTGATAACTTATGAACGGAAAGATGAGACTCATTTTGGTAATGATGGAACTTGTCCAATTCATCATAAGCAACTCCGAATAAGAAATATAAGGATGTATTTCTGTTTGTCAACTCCAGATTGAAGAAGATAAATCGAGTTATTTATCACAGAAGACACAAGGAAATTTGCATGCTGAGAATACAGCCTGTGTTTGAAAGAAAGAAAAGAGGAAACGTGAGAGAGAAGAATGTATATATCTCAGTTGCAGCCGGACCGTGTTTGAAATTGAATTTGTGTAAAGAAAAGAAAGAAAAGAGAAAACGTAAGAGAGAGAACTTATAAAGATAAGTAACTATATATTTTGGACCCTTGTTAGAAAGATACACATGCATCCATAAATTTTATGTTCTCACAAACACCTTTCCACATGTCAAAATAGTAATATATAAATCCTATCCCATCTCTTTTTTTTTGGTTATGCGTTGATTTTTGCATTCATAGTTATTCATAGTTATGTTTTTATCTGTTTGGGTTCAGTCGAATCCACTTGAATTTGGGCATATTTTGGTATCCCAACATAAGTCTTGAGGTTCTGGTTGTCGGATGCTTTACTCATGCTTATATTTTTTTTCTTTTATTGTAAAATCTTGTGTATATGTATATATTAAAATTTTATACCAAAATTTATTACGCCTTTCGTCGCTCCTCCTTGAATTGTGGATTGGTATATGTGTTGAAACCGGCGAATCTGGGAAAAGACTACTGTTTGATTATCTCAATCGAACAGTATTCTTTAAAATATTTTGTTTACTAATTGTCCATTTGTCATGGTCTAGGAGAGATAGCCCGTATCTCTCCATAGATGTGATAATGTATATATCTCCTGGTCGGCGTATGATTGCGTTATAAATTATTCGTCAAGTAGGGCATATGACATCTGGAATGTAATCGATCCTGACCTGGCATCTTAATTTCAGTCACTTTTTCACTGACTTAGAGAGGCTTCACTCAATCTTTTCTACAAATATTTTTATATCAACTGCTCTGACAAGATTTTTCTCTTGGTGCCCTAACTACATGAATTTAAGTGTGCCACTAGATTGGCCGCTAGGTCTCACGCATTTACTGTTAAAACAGCTAAATTCAACTGCCACTTCTACTTCAACAGTTTCTTTCCTCACACTTCCTTCTTGTGGAACTCCTTTCTGTTTACTTGCTTCCCTGATAACTACAATCTTCAAAAATTTAAATGCAATATAAATCACCATCTTCTATCTTCTTGAATCCTGTTCATCTTTTGTCCTTTCCTCAATTCTCCCAGTACTAAGTCTTTTCATTTCCTGTAACCCCCCTGTGTACTAGTAGCATTGCTGTCTTGCTTGGAGTGAAATGATTTAAAAAAAAATAAAAATTGAGTATTACTACAGTATTTGTGCTGGAGCTTCCAAATCCTCATTTTCCAGCCTTGACACAATTCCAAATCATTTACATGGTCTTGTTGGGGGATGACAATTTCCACCCTACAGTTTCTTTCTCCACAGACGTGAAATCACTAGCCAATCATGACTTCCATGGAAAATATTCAGACAAGCTCCATTCTTTAGTGACATCAGTTCAGACCATTACATCTGAGACCCACCTTGCTACAATCACAGAGGTGAATCATCCTCATTTCCTACATATTCCATTGGTAAGAAGGAGATTAAAGCAATTTCTTCCAGAGAACTGTACCTTGGCAGAACATAGTCCCATGTGGACGCTTCCCCAAACACCACAATCTTAACCTTTTCAATTACTATTTATCCTCCATATCCTCATAATCTTGAATTTCTATTTCTTCTTGTCCATATTACATGTCTCATTCAATAACAGTTCTACCTTGTGTGGATCTTGAGCTTTGTATCAGGTGAATATTAGTAAGAAAAAAAAATAACTTCCCTGAACAGACCATTTTTCTTTTAAAAGCAAATAAACCACTCTCTTCTACAATGCTTGAACATTTTACCTGTAATAATATAAGAAAAATTAGTGTTTTGATGCTGATAAGCCTTTGTACAAATATCATATGCCTAACAAACCATTTGAATAATTAACAATAATATTCATTAGTTCTATTGTCATATGATGGCTGTATTTTTATTTTATGATTCAATGAAGCAATTTCCATATGTATCACACAATCTCCAAAAGCCTTCAAGAAAGACTTGTCCAACAAGACTAAGGTGTGCAGATGAACATTTTTATTCAGAACAAAATTCATTATCATGTATAATGTTTGTTTTAATTTTTCCATTTCTATTTACTATTAATGATTCTCCTAATGAGATTGCATCAGAAATTTAGCAGAAGTTACTTTCTATGATCCCAAACTATTTTTGTGTTCATATGAGGTATTGCTATTAATAAGAATGGGTTGATATAAATCAAACCACAACATATATGAGCCACATTATACTGACCAATGGCAAAATATAAACAATACCTAAATGTCTCAGTCAATTTAGGTTTTCAGTTTTCTATTATGCACTGTTTGAATTAAACATGGTTTTTTTCTGGTATGTCAAAATAGCCAGTTTAAAATCTTGTAATGCATCAGTATTACAGCTTACTTTTGATTTTTAGTGTAATTAAACCAAAATAACTACCGAGGCAATTTCTGCAGTAATTCTGATACTCAATTGTAAATCATTTTAAACAATCTCTTCTTTCCAATTCTTGATATGTATGGGCATCCATAATATTCATCATCTTCAATATCCTCTTAACCTTTGCATGTCATTCTTCCCCATAAATTTCAATTCTTCTTCTATGTGCAGTGTTCCTTCAGGATAATGATGATCCTGGCTCTCCACAATTTCCTGTCCATTGTAGCTCTTAATAAATTTTCTCTTTTTGTTATCTCTCCTAAACCTTGTTCTGCCATCTGTTTACTCAAGCTTGCTATGTAGGTGATATGTTGTTTTTCTCTGTTCCTCTTGTCTTCAATATATCAAGTCAGTATCAAGTTGTCCTCTTTACTCATTATCTGCTCTAGAAGCTTCAACTATCTCTTCCTGATGCAAAGCATTATTTTTGTTTCTATTTTCTCTAAAACTTTGTTGTATCTCACTAGTTCGGTCAATGCTATTCTCAGCATCCTTCTGTAAAACCACATTTCTGTTACTTCAAGTCACTTCTTCATCTATGAGGCTAGTCCAGAATTTATTGTCACATAGGAAGACTGATAATACATAACAGTTCAATACTCTTCTTTGTTTCTAACAAGATTTTTCTGTTTCTTAATACTTTGCTTAGTTTTTGGAAGGCATCCTTTGCTATCCAGATGCACCTCTGGATTTCAGTGTCGCACTTTCTGTCCTCTGTTAAAACACTTCCCAGATATTTAAATTTTTGTACTTGCTTGATTTTGTTATCTCCAATTTGTAATTTGCATTTTGGGCTATTTCTTTTGCTAACATCAATGCTTTCCATGTACTTGCAATTGATGTTTAGTCCTTTCTTCTTGCTTTCCTTCATTATTCTCTGTAGAAGTTCAGGTTTATTAAGAGCTACAAAGGATAGAAAATTGTGAGCTATGGTTGCCTATGTCCTGAAGGGACATGGCAAATAGAAGAAAAAGAATGAAGGGATTCATGGAAATATATATACAGGGCACAGCAGAAATAACTCCCACATAATGGTAAAACATTAGTGACACTAGTGTCTTCATCTAGCTAATGTCTTACCAATATGTGGGAGGCATTTCTGCCAAACTCTGTATGTTTGCACTGTGAATGTGCAGGATATTGAGACAAACCGTATTTTTTAGTGTCACCAATTCAAACCTTTACATCTCAGACCTGAATTGCTACATCCACAAGATTGAGTCAATCTCATTTCCTCCATATTTTATGTTAAGAAGGAAATTCCCCTTAGCTTCTTTCCAAGAATCACTAATTTGTTGAAATGACTATCAAATGGATGCTTCTCTGAAGACCACAATCTTAGCCTCTTTAAATTTAGAGTCAATAGTTATTTATCCTATATATCCACATAATTTTCACTTATTTCTTTTTCTTATGTCAACCTTGAGTGACACTTAAGCCTTTTACTAGATGACCATTAATAAAAAACAAAAAGAAAATTTCCCATAATAAACTATAGTAGATTACATGTTACTCTTATGATATGTCAAGTTTTAGGAATTTTTATGGATTTTATAATTTCACATTATTAGACAATTTACTGAAATTCCAAGAAATATTTTGTTTTAATTAAAAATTATAATTACAGAATGTGCACAATTTACAAAGAAGAATGTTTTGATTAAAAAATTTAAACATTGAGAAAGTTATAAAGGCAACATTACTATAAAATGTATGCTCAAAATTATGAAACTAATTTTAGAAGTTGTTCATTTATTGATTCTGTGAGCTGTTTTATTTCCTTATACAAAACCAATGGTCCAAGCCTCTGAAATAGCATTCCAAATGTCATCTCTGCTGGTGGTAGAGAATGTGTAGGCTGGCCCAGAACAGAAAAGTACTGTTCAGAATTCTGATGACCTTAACTGAGTAGGGGTAGTTTAAACCCCGTAGACACAAAATTATGAGTGATAGATTATCTATTTATTCACTGATTTGTTTTTTATGGCTTATCAACCTTTTGTGGGTTATTTTAAAGCAAGAAAATATTTTTAGGTTGTAAGAATTTCTTGGAGATAATAAAGATTCACTGATACAAATCTTGCTATTTAACCCATAGTTGGAGGAGAAGAGGTGTATTTGTGCTTAAATGAGTATAACAAATCTGATGTTGAAACTCGGCTCTCTGATTTCTAATTCTGTAATGTTATCCATTACAACAACTGCAGGTCCAAGCTTACAGCATCTGACATTCCCAAGTGGTCACCCATCTAGGTACTAACCTGGCTGGATGTTGCTTAACTTTGGTGGTCATAAGAGAACTGGGGTTTCAACATAATATGTTTGTAAGGATGCCTTTCCTTAAGTTTTGATATAAGAGCAAAAAAGTATAAAGACACTGAGAAGGTTGCAAGAATTAGATGGGTTCACTACATCCAGATTCATTTGTAAGGCAAAACAGCACAATGTGATGAGATTTGGGCTGACCGGTTGATCATCCTCTCTCTCTCTCTCTCTCTTTCTCCTAGAAATGAGGCTACAAATACTGCCCTTTGTAAAACAAAGTGATATAAAAGAAAATTGTCCTCTGTTGATGCAGTCTATAATGTAGCATTGGGGGTCTAAAGAACTGAAGCTAGAAATGACATGAAATACAACATTGGTAAATTGCTATCTGACAATAAAGTAGTGGGCCTCAAAATGACAGTAACCATTGAGCCCCATGACTTTTGTTATATTAGTGTATAATAACCTTATTCTAGTGGCCTGTCATATGGTTAAACATTTCTTGTCAGTATTCAAACCCAGGTAAAAGCTAAGATTTCAAATACAGATTTTTGGGGGCAAGTAATTATGGCCCCATTCCCAACTTAAAAAACTAGCACAATACAATCTTCCTACTATATTTCTATTCTCTCTCATCTGGCTTTGTTCTATAAATAGCCAAGTGTTAGTAAATGTATATAACACTGCATATTTTGTATTGCATGTAGCCATGATTTTTCATGGGAAGGACAGTGGAGTGATTTTCTGTGGCTTCCTCCATGATGATTTTATTGAGACATTACCTCTAGTTTTTATAGTAAATGATAAACCTAAGGCATTTATTGCAATGATTAAGTGACATGTACCAAGTAACTATATTTTTAATGGACTTTTCATCTAGTTTATAGATTTATTAATATAGACAAATGCATGCATGAAAGCATAGACATTTACAAACACACACATTTTATATATATATATATATATATATATATATATACACACACACACACACACACAAAGAATTGGTCTGAAGATTACATTGACACATGAAACTGAAAGATACCATTATGACCCAGACATGTTCTCAGTGCTGAGTAGGACTAATACTGATTATCACTTAAAAGTTTTGGATTTAGTGTACATTAAGTTTAACCAGCCATTTCTCTCTAAGTAGGAGTGGTTGGTTGGCTTAAAGGTAATTAGCCTTTAATGTTATATTTCTTTTTCTGCATCTAGCATTAGTTTGGGGTTTTATATTTTTTAGTCATTGTGCACATTTGTTTTTGTCCACACATTTTGCTCTGATGAGCGAGGACCACAAAACCAGTTTAGCCATTGTTATTTTTTGGTATTACCATTTTATAGCAATATATATATATATATATATATATAAGTGTGAATATAAATTAAATAGCTGTAATATGTATGCGATAGCGTGCATACACAGATAAATCAAAAATATATATTTATTTTCAAAATTTATGGTGCAAACAAAACAGTGCTCAATGCAGTTAAACAGAGCTATGAAGTATATATTAATAAATACACATATACCTATGTTTGTTGTAAAACTTAAAGTTTCATGGTTTCCCAAGTTGTCAGGAGTAAATGGGAAATGAACCATTTAATACAGTTGTTTTTTTTAAAAAATGATGGGTCTCATGAGAGGAACACTAAACTATACTCAGATTCAAAGCTCAAAGTCAATATAAACCCAATATATTATTGGGGTGTAAATTCAAAATATAGAGTGTACGAAGGGAAATGTTGGGAAAACATAGGCGAAAAAAAATAGAATGATGCATGCTTAAAGTTTATATAGTACATGTTTTACTGTTTTCTTGCATTCATAGAAAAAAAAAACTCTCTCCTAAAGTATTTTGGTTCTGGATAGGTTCTGGATAGATTATTTTACACAACTTCACTTGCCCATTATATATTTTAGGTTAAATACTAATTCCGCCCACCTTTTATCCATTTAAATGTCTATTAATACATAACAGACTACATGGCATTCTTCTTTTCTTAAATTTTTTCTACACTTTTTATTTTTTACTTTATATCTTAATATTATTAAACGTTAGCTTTATATACTGCTCAGTGTTACTCCCATGAAACAGACATTATCTATAAACAAAAATACAATTTACTGTGCCTATCCACTCCTTTTAATCATACAGCTTGCTACTTATAATGGTATCTTTCAGTTTCATGTGTCAATGTAATCTTCAGACCAATTCTTATATATATATATATATATATATATATATATATATATATATATATATATATATGTGTGTGTGTGTGTGTGTATATTATTCACTTTTCTTTTTTGCTTTGTTTTCTAAGTATCTCCCTACCTACACATTATATTTTGAATGTACACCCTAATAATATATTGGGTTTATATTAACTTTGAGCTTTGAATGTGTGTGTAATTTAGTTTTCCTCTCATGTGATCCAGTATTTAAAAAAAACAAAAAAACAACTGTATTAAGTGGTTCATTTGCTATTTGTACCTGAAGACTTAGGAAACCATGAAACTTTGCACTACAAATGTAGGGATGTGTATTTATTTATATATATATATATATATATATATATATATATAAGCTTAAAAGCCACCCTATCAGGCTATCTCCTGCAGAGGGCTCTTGATTGAGTTTTTATCATAATAGGTAAGGAGTAGATGCAAAAGGCAACAATAAACTTCAAAAGAACTCAAAATTGATTGCTGCATTAAAGTGTTGTATTAATATTTAAGCTTACCTTTTAAAAGTTCAATGATAATTCTTTTGCCACCATTTAAAAACAATTTTGTTGGACTTCACAATTAATTTTGATTATTCCCAAATTTATTTCCAAGTTATAAAAATTGTTATTGTACATAAGAATTTGTTGTAAAAAATTACCAAAAACAATAACAGTAATGGAAACTTGAGAATCCAAAATTTCAGGATTGCAGGTCCTGATCTCACCCGGAATGTTTTTAATTTGCTTATGGAGTTGTCCTGATTCCAAAGTGGTATGATATGCTGGGCTACGGCCTCTATGAGTAAAGTTGAAAAAGTGTGACACACTGATATTTGCATCTATTATATGTGTGTGTGTGTTTCCACTTTTTTGTTATGAATTTTGTTTTTTTAATGTCTACTTTTATTGTTCTAATAAAATTTTGTACCTCTGAATAAATACACCATGAAATGTTTTCTATGTAGAAACTAATAATAATGCTCTATTTCTGATACTGAGCACTCTCATTAAATATTGTAAATAGGAAATATATATATATTAAAAGCCGCCCTAGCTCCTGCGGAGAGACCTTGATTGTGCATTTGGCTTGTTCAGGAGTTTGAAAGTTCCTGTCTTTGTATATTCGCAACATTGGAAGCACTCCTGGCTGCTGTTTGATCTGGGTTTTTATTTGCATGGGACTTTCTTTTCCTCACTGCAGCCTTAGCTCTTTTGGTTGCAATCTGGTCCTCTGTTGGCAGAGATCTCTTTTTGTGAGGCATACTGCTGCCGTATAAGATAGGCAACATTAAACTACATAAGAATTGCTGCATTTAAGTATTGCCAAAAACAATTGCAGTAATGAAAACTTGGGAAGCCAAGATTTCAAGATTGCAGGTCTGGATCCAGCCTAGAATGTTCTTAATTTGCTCACGGATTCAGCCTCATTCCAAAATGGTATATGTTGGGCTATGGCCTCTAGGAGTAAAGAGGAAAAAGATTGACACAATGACATTCACACTTATTTATGAAGAAGAAGATGAGATATTTAAAGGTTAGAGAGTTGTGTCACTTTAATTAAAAATGTGTGACCCACACACAAACATTTCTGCATTTATTATATAGATGTACAAGTTTCATTAAATATGACTGACAAGAGATTGCGGTTAAGTATTTTTATTTAATTTTTCTTGTGTTTTTATATTTTATATTTTTTTTTTATGTAGAAATTGTCCAAATTTTCTATATGTCTGAGTGCTTTTGGCTATACTTTTAGCCATTATCAAGGATGATTTTATTTTTACTTTTAACTGAATGTGTGGATTGTTATATGTATGTATCTACAGTTATAGGAATGTTTTATTTTTCAAACACAATCAGCTCATTGTGGCCATGTTTAGTTGATATTATTGAGTGTTGGCTTTTTCTTTTTTATTAATAATGCTTCCATTATTTTTAGTCTATTTTTACATGTGGATAAGGCCATTATATTTATATTATCAATGAGAATGTTTCAGATATAAAAGATGGATTGCTGCCTAAATACACACACATATAATAGTTCTCTACTCATATCCAAGTATATCCATCTGTTAAGGCAACCAGTTAATCCCTGTTGCAGATGCCTGCTCAGGCAATTTTATGCTTGTTCAACACTGACAGAGACAAAATTTATACTGCAATTATGCTGAATGGACCTTGGAGGAAAGAGCACTTAATCTGGAAAGATCAACAGTTTGCACAAAGCCAGTATGAAAAAACTTTGATCACAATGACTTGTAACTTTTGCTAGTACAACCCTCAACAGTTTATGAAAGAGTTTGCTGACAAGGTTTGAGTCAACCCATAGTATAGTTTTCAGGTACTTTCCAATTGTGCCAAACTTTGGGATCACCTCGTCGAGCCAATAACATTAAGAAGTCACCTAGTCAACAAATCAACCAATTGTGAGATTCAAAATTCTAACCACTTTCCATGTGCCCATATATTTTGAATGATCATTCTAATTTAACCAGATTTTGTGCCTTAAAATTTATTTCAAGCTGACCCATAATAGCATTTTTAACATTTTAGTTAATAATACTCAGTAAGATGAAAGTTACTTCCTCTTGAACAAAAAAAGACAATAATAATGAAAATCTCAGGGCAAATCAGAACCCTGTAAAATCAAATGAAGGTCAATTTCAAATGCCAGTGAAGAAAATTAAACAAGTTAAATAAAACTGAAACTACACCATTGGATTAACATGAATCTGAAAAGAGTTATTTTTTTTTTTTTAAGGCAAGCTATTGGTTATTAAAGATTGTCACATATAGTTGTATTGACACAGAAA